TTAAAATTTACATAGACTGGCTGATGTTTAACATGCTTATTGCAAGCTCCTCTGCAGTTGGTCAGTTGATGTGGATGTTGACGGCTGAACACTGGCAGAGCTCCTACCTTGAAATGTTGGCCGTTCCCTGGTCTTATCTCTCCAGCACCTCTGCATCAGCTTGATCATGTTGTCACATTGCTGCGGTCTCGCCCTTGGTATGTGCTGTAGGTCTGGCCGTAGGCCGCCTCCCACCTTCACCATGATATGCAGAATATTCTTCTCATCTATAAAAGACAAAAATATAGCAATGTAGCTGAAACGACAATAAAACACACCCTTCAAGTTCACGTAAAGCTGAAGTTTATTTTTTGCCTCTCTCTCATCTACATGATAATAGACTTATTAGACCCAGGGACATTATCCCTGGGTTTCTGTGCAATGCAGGCAGATCATTGCTGGTGGATGCGGCTGGCAGGCGTCTGTACATGGCTTCTGGAATCACAGCCCCCTAACTTGGTACTCCTCTCAAGAGCCCCCAGCCCTAATGCAAGCAGTTGGCTGGCTTTTGGGAGGACCTGGACATCAGTCTGGAGGTGCGGACATTCATAGGCAGAATGCATTTGCTCGCAGTGGGCATCCCCAGTGTAGTCCATAAATCTGCAGGCTAGGTGCATTACTTTCAAATGTCACCAACAAGCACCTACATGCTGCATCCCTTCCCCCCTATACAGTGCCCTGAAACCCCCAAAACGCTTTGTAATTCAATTACTGACCAGCTTGTGGTGTCACCAGTTCTAGTCTGCTCTTTACCACTGGTTAGTGAGGAGCCAATAGTAAGGTGCATGCATAGGCAGGGGTGGGCCTGAGCCAGTGATATTCCCCCACAGGTACACAATATAAATCATCTGGCTGATATGCTTCACCTGCATGTTTAGCCATGTACAAAAAACGGAGAAAGTAAAAACAACAAAATCCCCGAATTTTAGCCTTGTACTTTGCACATCCTTCCACCCACGCACAGCTATTAAACCATCAGTCACACTGCAAAGATTGCCTGGGAGCATGGGCTGTAGGTATGCGTCCCAGCTTGCCCAGTACAGATTCAGACAGACGACCGGAAACTGACTATGTGAAGCGTGTCACAGCAGAAAATATTGGCAAACGAGAGGAGGGAAAAAAAATGTCAAACTTGTACTTCAAGTTAAAGCTGAACTATAAGCAGACAGCTAAATACTTTTAAGGGAGCTGTGTTTAGCTGCCAAAGGATTTGTTTTCTGTCTATCCAGTCCTGAGATTTACACACCTATGCCAGACTGTACAGCTCTGATTGGCAGGACAGGGGGCCTGATTTTACTGCAGTTAAGCAGAAAAGAAGAAGCAGCAGACTGATGAGCTCATCCCTCTGTCTCTCTGCTCTTTCCTGTCAACAGCATGTCCCTAACGCAGCAGCAGAACTGATTGGCTCCTTGTTTTGCTTCTTCCTCTGGCACTCTGAGCTTTGCTCTACAGGGTCTGCAAGAGACTGGTACCAGATAAAATTCAGGTACCTGCCACTGCTTATATTTAAAGAAAAGAAATGGAATGATGGATAATGATTAGAGAGCTGCATTAGTTTGCGTCTTTTATATCTACCTGGAGTTCAGTTTTAAAGGTGAGATTTGTGGCTTTTTTTTTAATAATCAGTGCAAATAAAAGAAACACGGGATTTCAGCTTTTTTTATTAATCTGCCCCCTTTAAGCCAACAAATTAAATATGGAATTGGACATGTCAATTTTGTCTCATTTCGAATGCAAATCTGGACGGAATTTCATGATTTGGGCACTCGGATGCATCCGAATGTCTGAATTCCAATGAGGCCGAAGGCAAACAAATCCGAAAGTTCTTTTAACGTAGTTTCGGATCATCCGCATTTTGTTCAAAATGAAACTAATTCGGACACGTGACTGTTTTCTGGCCAATCAGAAAACCCCGTCTGAAAACTAAAACGAAACGCCAAAAGATCCGAATCAAAAAATGAAACAGCGTTCGGACCCGAAAGAAAGAAAAAATCGGAAATGAAACAAATTTTTTGCCGGCTTACATGTCCAATTGGAATCTAATGGTTGCTGGAGAGCCTGCTGTTTGTTTTAGTAGTTTGCCTTGTGCTCAGCTTTAATCGACATGATGAACAATGTAAGACAAAACATAGAAAAAAATCCATACATATGTATGTGGCATACATCCGTACATGTCTGCCACATACAATGCTGCTTTTGGGCAGGTTATTAACACCTCCTAGACTCCGTTTATGCAAATGCAATCAACACCTGGTTGTGACTAAAAGATTATGTGGATTGGAGAGACATTCACCATATTTATGCCCAGAGAATTTTTGTACAAGTCATTCTAAATTGAGATAGCTGGTCGGATGACCAGTGAAACATCTTCAAGAAAAATACAGCAAGTCCAGTTGCCTTGACTTATTTTTTACAGATATACCATGACCTGGATGAATGAGAACCTTCACAGACATACATGTGAGTTTTTTGCCTGTAATTCTATTCAGACAGACAGTCTTGTGATCCCAGCACACCTGACAGACAGCACAGCCTGGCCTAGGGTCCCAGTGCAGGGAACAATGCAGTTTAGCATTATTAGAGTGATTTTCTTTTTTGGAAATCACAAGTGGGAAGAAAGGCAAACCAATTGTACAGCTCAGGGACTGAAGAACACACACACACACACAACTGTAAGCTGCATTAGGTATGAATGTGCAGCTTGTAAATAAGGTAGAGACTTACCTGCAAAAGGTTTCTGCTGTGTAAGGATTCCCCAAATCACAATGGCAAAACTGGAAGGAAAAATACATCTAATTAAAACACAAACAGTAACAGAGGCACAAAGCAGGCATCAGACACAATTGGGTTATTCAATAATGCACTGACAATAGTAAATAGTGGGCCAGGATTCAGCAACTCAGTGGGGGAAAAAAAATGGTTTCCGATTGGCTATTTTGGCTTATTGCACTGTCATGGCTTCATGTACTGCATGTTGTAGTGGGCCACTCTAGCCAGCACTTTATTTTTATAGCAAACTTTGGTCTAACCCTCAGCCCTTTCTATACTCCCCTGAACGCCATATAGCCACCAAAAAAAAATAATAATATATATATAGTCAAAAAAGACAAAAATGCAGTATTGCAGTGTGCAATGATACCTTTTTTATTGGACTAACAAAATATATATATCCTGAAACTTCCAGGTATGGAGGAGACTCGGCTCATGTGACAGTGCTGATGTTTGGCAAGCATTGTCACATGGGGATAGGGTGGGTCCTAATAAGCTTTCATTCCTAGCAATTTAGAACTTTACACATGGAAATGGGGCAAGGATTAACATGTGCTGCTGGCAAGGGGGGCATTAAAGTGAACCTGTTGTTTTGCCCCACATTAACAAAGTTCAGGGTTGCCCAATGGGCTGGACGACCCACTTGGTCTTTACCTGCCATCACTCTTCCATGTTTCTACTTTAAGTTTTTGAAAGACTGGAACCGGTCATCAAGTTTTTATTGGCGTCGGTGTTCTTGTTGGAAGATTTGTAATCCCTGAACAGGATATGAAGGGAAATTTGCCCAAAAGGAATATAGCTTTCTGTTGCTAATTAGGGGTTTAACACTTCCCAATTGTTAAAAGAAAAAATTTTGGCTGGAGCTTTACATCCTTCAGCTCGTGTTGAAAGTAAAAACAGCCACACACCAGGTACTATGGCAAGATTGTGGAGAAGGTGAAGTGCTGCATTTTGGGGACCAAGAATGTCCACCATGAATCCCCGCTAAGCCCCCCAATGATTCCTCATCTCACCTGTAGACGTCGTGTTTGGTGTCAAAGTTTCTGTTCTTCTCCTTGAAGCGCTCCGGTGGCAGGTAGGCAATGGTCCCACAAATTCCATCCAAACTCAGCTCATGGGAATTGGATAAGCCGTTCCACTTGGCAAGGCCAAAATCCGAGATCTAGAGAGAACAGGCACTGAAGTTATCTCCGGTAGAAGTGCCACGGCAGCTTGGATTGCAACTGGTGCTCATTTATCATACAGTTAAGTTAACTTTTTGTTTTTTAATTTAGAGCAAACTTCGGCCCTCCAGCTGTAGTGAGACTTCAAATCCCATCATGCATCTGTCTCAGAGTGATGACTGTGGCTGTTGCGGGTCTTGTAGTCCCACCACAGTTGGAGGGCCGAAGTTCGCCTACCCGTGATTTACAGGCATTTATCACAATTCTCCTACAGGGTATTGGCAGTGTGAGTGATCTCTGGACCACTTCCATTCTTTGTCACCGCAGTTACTCCCAGCTGTGGCTTCCCTCTCATTGCCCCAATGCTTAGATTAGGAACCTGCCCTCAGCTGCAAATAGACTTGAGATTTCGATCTGGACTGTAGCATTCTTTTAAATAAGGAATTAGATAAGCAAGCCGCGTTTGGAACAGCTTTGTGTACATTTCATTGCAGGGCCTTTCTACAAACAGTCTATTTTAAAGAACTTTCGGAAAGTTATGGGCCTGAGCTTCGTCCTCATTAATCGTATTTATTTGGTTATTCTCCGCTTATAACTGTAGTTGTCTTAAGAAGTCGCCGTACCAGAAAAGTAAGTGCTGAAGGGTGGGGAAAAAAAAATATTCCGACCGTGTTCAGGTATGAAGGTCACAGAGGTCTCGGCTTTGCAGTACACGGGACTTGCGGAAACAAGTGTTATCACTACAGGAAGAGCGCATGCTTTCATTTCTAAGCCAAACTATTTTCTAAAACCCCAAGACGGGTTGGCATAAGGCTCAAGAACAGTAATAGCTGAAAACACAGAGCGGAGCGATCTGTTCGCATTGCGCAACTTCACTGCTGCAAGCACAGCCATGTCCCGGGCAGATAATCAGCCAGGAGGATTCTGGGAAGGGGAAGTTCTTCCAAGACACAGCCATCAACGATATCAGCCAGAAGGGGAGCCAGTAAGGCGAGGCTGGACAAATCCCAGGAGCCAGGATGCCAATGCTACTTAAAAATAACAGCCGGCGCCTAACTTTTGAGGGTTTCGTAGTGGCGGTCAGCGGAGTTGGTGCCTAAAAACAGAAAAACCTGCTGGATCCTGAATTGCATATTAATTTGATCAAACCTACAGAAAGGGCTCATTTCACACCAGCATTGCCCAACGAGGTCTCAATGCAAAGACAAAGCAAAAAGCCCTTGACATGTGTAGGGCCTGTCCACACCAATGGGCTGTGTTGGTGTGCGTTGCCATAAATGATGCAGGCATACGTTTTACCCCCAGCGCGGCACGTTACACGTGGCAATGTGTTAAATAAAGTTATAAAAAAAACAAAACGCAATGCGAGATGCTTGGCAGTAGAGCTGCAGCTTACGATTATTTTCAAAATCGATTAGTTAGCCGATTATTAAGTTCGATTAATCGGTTAATCGGATAAACAATCAAATACATTTTAAAAAATGGCTCCAGTGATGGACTACTAGTTTGTATTGAAAGGAGCAAGCTTGGAGCGGTGGAAGTAAAAAAGAAAAAAAAAGTGTGGTGTGCAATATAGTGAAATGGAAAGTGTAAAATTATACAGCAATCAATGCAGAATGGCACCGGCTATAGAGGACTACAAATCCCAGCAATAGTACAATATACAGCGCAATGCAGAATATCACCAGCTATAGAGGAGCACAACAAATCCCAGCAATAGTACATTATAGCTGGTGGTATTCTGCATTGCGCTGTATAATGTACTGTTGCTGGGTTTTATAGTCCTCTATAGCCAGTGGTATTCGGCAGTGCACCACTGTATATTTGTAGTGCTCCTCTATAGCTGGTGGAATTCCACATGGCGCTGTATAATGTATTATTGCTGGGATTTGTAGTCCTCTATACAGCGCAGTGCAGAATATCCCCAACTATAGAGTACAACAAATCCCAGCAATAGTACATTATACATACAGTATATAATGTATTGCTGGGATTTGTATTCCCATGTATAATATACAGCACAATGTACCATCAGCTATAGAGGAATACAAATCCCAGCAATACATTATAGAGCACCATGTGTGGGAAAGTGCAGGCTTACCTGAGCAGTCTTCCAGCAACTTGCTTCTGAGATTGGGCCTGTCAATCTGCCGCTGTCATCCCCCCCACACCTGCTCCTCCTTACTACATCTCCCCGCGTCCCTGTGCCGATGGAGAATGTGGGCGGGCGGTGAGTGCGAGGCTGGAAGGAGGTGTGGCGTGTAAAGCGTGGATGCGGGTCTGTCAGCGTTGAGCGTGAGTTAGGGAGGAGGTGGGGCGCGCAGCGTGTGTGGAGCCGTGAACAGGGCCAACTGATCAGAAGCCGATTAATCGATTATTGGAAAAGTTGACAACTTTTTCAATAATCGATTATAATCGATTATGTTGATTAGTTGTTGCAGCCCTACTTGGCAGCAGTAACAGTACATGCGTTACGGTGTGCCCTAAAGCTAAACTTCAATTGGATTGATAGAAAGACACACAGATTTCGATGTTCTCTAAAACACACCAAAACGATGGTAAAAGTACGAGGAGAGAAGTTGCACATGGCAACCAATCAGTTTCTCTTTTGAATTTGCTCAGTTAAGCATTGAAAATGAAATGTGAAAGCGGATTGCTTGCCATCGGCAACTGCTCTAGTTTTGATAAATCCCCCGACCATTAAAATTACCATTAAATATAATTTATATGGATGTATAAATGTTCTATAGACATAGGTTTGTCAATGTCAGTGTGAATGAGGCCTAGCAAAAAAACATAAAGACAGCCAATCAGCATCTAGCTTTCATTTTCATAGCCTAACTGAAGAAGCCGATTGGTTACTATACACAGCTGCTTTTGTTTTATATCGACCTCAAGTTCCTCTTTAAATCGCCATGTCCCAGATTTGTCATAGATCCCCGATATTTATGACAGTATGTGTGTTGTCAGTATGACAACACACGGAGCAATGTGGCCAGCTCATCTCCCTGGCATCGTGCTGGGTCACTGTAGCAATTATAAAGCTCTCATGTCCCTGAATTCCAGGGGAAGAAGGCAGACACATTGCTATGTCAGAATGGGTCTGAGCCGCACGGCCTGCTGGGAAATCCCTCACAGACAATGGCCTCCCTATTACAGGTGACTCACGGACGACGATATTAAATAGGCAGTGCAATTCACAGCATTAAAAAGCACATTCCACACATACCAAGTCAGTTATATAAAACATCAGTGCGGCCAGTATGCACGGTTACATCAACAACTAATGCAGGGGTGAGTTATGGGAAATATTAAATAGACGCAGGTAGTGCAATCGGATCTGGGCAGGGGATCCATATTGTCTGCCAGTGTCCGGTATCACATGACGGCGTTTACAGGCAACCTGTACGGAGAGAATTAGGTTGCCATGGCAGACCTCTCCCTGAAAATATAAGCTGCTTGGCTGGCTTCAACACTTCGAGGAACTGATCTGTGACAAGGGATATCAAAGTGAACTCAGGTCACCTTACCGGAATACATGTCCCAGGTAATGTCCTCATGCCTACCAATGGGCACACGTCAAGGTTTGCGTTGGGCACATGTGCTATGATGTATTGTTAAACACAAGGCTGTGCTTGCTTTTTTTCCCCAACTTTTTTAAACTTTGACTTTACACTTCATTCAACTGTATGCACAGCAGCACGTCGTGATGTGTTATAACGCATTGGAAAGCACTGCGCAAAAATGCAAAATGTCCCATTTCTGACTTGCTGCAGCTTCTAATACACATTGCGAGTAGCTCTCAGTGTGCAGCCAAATCAGAGTAAGAAATTTCAGTCCAGGAGTGGAGCCGGTACAACTGCACAAGACTGAAGGGAAGGGCGGAGTTCAGCATTATTAGTATTTTGCATCCTCTCTGTACTGGAGACCCCTCACCAGGCTAACTTTTATTGTCTTCCAACCCCTCACCAGTCCATCCAAAACTAAAAAGAAAATCGGTTGGGCTTTACATACACTTTAAAGCCCCTACAAACCCACATAGTTTTCTATACTCAATCACATCAAAGACACCGATGGATGCTACGGAGTCAATGCCATAATCCGGAGAGATTCAGGGGTTCTATAGGACACGATGCGGCACGTTGGGTAACTGTACCACATCAAACACACAAGTCAGCGGCTTCCTTTTACAAGTCTCTTATAGGACTACACAGTGCAACATAGTCAATGATAATCATTTACAAGATCCAGCTGAATAAGTGACTGTGCTAAGCTTAGAGGCAAAACATTCTATGACTGACTGAGCAGATCTACTTCCTATAATATATATATATTACACACACACACATACATACATACAATCAGAAAGAAAGCAAAAAGATATCTACACTTTCCCTCCACACGCCGATTGGTAGATGTGTCCTTATGTGAAGCCAAGCTGATTGGTTACCAGTGCTTGGTGTTGGTTCAGGTCTATGATGCCAACCTTCAACTAATAAAGTCCAGGACTGGACAAATCCCAGGAGCCAGGTAACCAATCATTTTTTAAATGACAGCTGGCCCCCCAACTTTTGAGGTTTTGCCCTAGTTGTCAATGCTGGCTCCTGGATTGCACAACCCGGCTCCTGAATTCCATATTTGTCCACCCCCGACTAAGACAACAGATCCACCATGTGCTACCGGCTAAGAATTGATGAGATGTTCATATAAAACAGGGGTAGCCAAATTTCGGCCCTCCAGCTGTGGTGGAACTACAAATCCCATGACTCCCGGAGAGAGATGCATCATGGGATTTGTAGTTTCACCACAGCTGGAGGGCCGGAGTTTGGCTACCCCTGCTATAAAAAGTACAAGGAAATGCTTTGCACTTACCCTCCACCTATTGCAGGGGTATCCTACAGGCAAGTGCAGCTGATTGGCTACCACTGTTACCAAAACAAACATTATTTTGTTAAGCTAACCAAACAGTGTAGGAAGTAGAAAGGCTAACCAAACAGTGTAGGAACGGTTTGGTTCCTAAGCCATCTTCAGCCAATCAAATCTGTGTGTTTGTGAAGCCGGGCTATCTATGGGGCAGCCCATACTGGAAACCAGTGACTCCCTAAGAAAGTAGAGCCACCTGGCCAATAACCTGGTAGCTTCAGAATTGCTCGAAACCCCCAAGAGAACAACAGCTGAAGTGGAAGCAAGTGTAGGGGCACACTCAGAAAATGGAAAAGCTGTTCAGAAATTCCTAGTCCGCCACTGCTGACCAACTTCTGGAATGCCAACTGCCTGGCAGTTGTGTTGATCCCCTGGGTTAAATGCTCCAAGTCACTATCCTAAAACAAACATTTAGCCAGTGGAGTCCAAAGTCATAATTAACCTACATCTGTCAGCCAGAGGACTAGTATTGACAGGAGGACATCAGCAAAGACAGACCTGATATTTCTCCAATAACTGTAACCTTCTGTGATGAGTTTGCTGGACACAATCAGTGCTACATAACACGCAAAATGGAAGTCTCATAATTGGCTTCCTAGGACAGAAACCCTTGCTGGGTTCCGAAGATTACTAAAAACTCTATAAACTAGGATTATTATTTAAATAAATGATGGAGCTTCATAACACAGAAGATAAAGAGGGTCTACCCACAAACTAGTAAAAGAGATTTAGAACAGTAAATGTCCCATACCTTGACATGATAATGTCCATCAAGCAGAATATTGGCTGGCTTCAAATCCATATGGAGCAGTGGTGGGTTCATGCAATGGAGAAAGTTCATTCCCACTGCAGTCTCATGGATGATCCTAAAACGCAAGTCCCACGGCAAGCGCTCCGAGGCCAACAGCTTCTCCAAAGAACCGGTCTCCATGTACTCCATGACCAGGCCAACGGGCTCACTGCAGATCCCATATACAGGCAAGATGCAACGAAACTTGGCCATCTCCATCTTTTTGGCTTCCTCAACTAGCTCAATACGCTCCCTGCAAGAGAACGGGAAGAGATATTAGTCATGACATTCGTAATGGCGATCTTCACAGTGCGGCTGTAAGAAACAAAGCTTGGTGCCATTATTTTTGGCTCATGGATTTCACATTCTCGCTCTCATTGTTAACATGGTTACACCACCGAGCTCCCCAGTTATAGGTTTACTCTACCAAGGGGTGGGGGTGCAGTTATTAGGGCAGCCTGACATAACATGGCTCTCTATTGTTCAGTATTTAGTAGTAATGTTGGGCAACCTGTACTGAAAGTGTAGTACGAAAAAGGGCTGGGGCAGAAAACATACAAGCTCAACAGAGGCCCAAACTAATGAAAGGAGGAAGGTTACATAGTTAATCAGGTTCAAAAAGGACACAAGTCCATCGAGTTCAACCTATAGTGCATCACCCAAAGCATCCAATCTGATGATTTTAGTTGTCCCTTCCATCAGGTTACAAAAGAAAAGCTATTGGTTGGCTTGTTACAACAGGAACCTGTTGGAAAGATGTTGCCCACTTCCTGTCTTGGAGACAACACAGGAAATGAGGGGGAAAAAAAAAAAAAAAATCTTCCAAAGGGTAGGGAAAAACTTTCATATTAACCTGGCAACTTTCTGCAAAAATAAGTTCTCTAGAGTTGGGCTTTTGTTGTCCAAAAAAAAAAAAAAGAAAGTTTCTGGTTGTTTTGGGCAACACACTTCCTTCAGACACAAAGGCTGCTTCTCTCACATAAGGCCTCTTCCTGTGTGGAATGCACACAATTTCAGAGAATGTTTTTTTTCATGAATGGTAGAACTTGTCAGACCACCTTCATCACAGGAAGACATAGAACAAAAATGACAGGATGTGTGCCAAAGAGCTGCGAGGTGTTCAGGACCAACATTCATCTGTCACAAATTTCCTTATGCACTGAAACAGGTTGCTACATCAACAAAGGAAAAGCCGGGCCAAAAATAGAATTTGAACCCACAAACCTATGCGCTGGTAGAGATCACATTGTACATTGCAGGTTTTAGCGGCCCTGATTTACAGGAAGAGCCCAGAATTGTAATGACTTTTCTCAGAAAAACGCCTCATGCAGTTACTCACTAGATTTTGATAAATCCCATCCCTCTAACCCCCAACTGCATGACATCTAAACTAAATCATGACTAAAGCCATTTGATTCATAAGCAATTGTCATGTTTTTGTCGTTTAGAAAATCCTTGTTTTCCATTTTTCCTTCTTTTATTGCTTCTCTGGGCTGTTGACCTCCTGCAGCCACTTCCTGTCTACATGCATGACCTCCAGCAGCAGCTTAACATCGTTGCTAGGGGCAGCTTTTTCAGTCTCTAGTGGGGGTTCATGTGACAGGGTGACAACACAGAAGAGTTAATTGGGCGAAAGGGACAGAGTTTTGGACCTTCGTGGCAGGATCACCATTGATTCTTTTTTAATGAAAGCTGCAGGTTTAAAAAGACTGAACGTGACGACTTTTGAGATGGCATTAAGATTATAGAAGTGATTGCGTTTACCTATACTTTAAATGCTAGCCATTTACTGATGTTTTGTTAACCTCTTTGAGCCATCTTTACAAAAATGTAACTACTAAAAAGGTGACTAGAAAATAACGGATGACACAGGAAGTAAAGGCAAATCTCTCCAATGGGAACAATGCCAGCAGTAATAGCATGACAGCGTTCAAACCTTTCTACTAAAGGTTTCTGTTTGGGATATCTGCCCTAAACTTCTGCCCTGGTGACCACACTGGAAGCGAGGCAAAAGCTGCCAACAGGGGACACCAGACTTTGTAACCTTTCGTGGTTCCATCCAAAGCCAAAAAAATGCTATACTTTAAAGCAATGGTTCTCAACCTGTGTAACCTCAGGACCCACATTTGACCGCGGTCATAAAGTCGCGACCCAAGTCCCACTGCAATGGAACGTACGGCAGTGTGGGCTGCTGTGCTGTGATGGAACTCCATCCATATGTGCAATGCTTGTACAGCTCCCTTGCGCACCCTGTAGGTGTCGGGAGCCAGAATGTGATGTCACTCCAGTCCAGGCACCTGTACAGGACAAGCGTGGGAGCTATAAGCAAAGCACGTATGGATGGAGCTTCCTCGCAGCCATACCCCCCTGCCCACCCCACCTCAAGTCAACACTTGGCACCGGGCAGCATATTTTGAATGGCTGCTCGATATAAGATTGAACAGTGCTGCGCTAGGGGGGGCTGAGGAGCCTCTCGCCTAGAAAAGTGGAAGACATGTGGCGACCCACTGAACACACGGGGTCGCAACCCACCAGTTTAGAACCAAGGCTTTAAAGTAAATGAAAACCCCAACAATGAGCTTTTAGTCTGTTAAATATACCAATAAAAGACTTTGCATTCATCAAACGGAGATTAAACAAATACCTTCCGATTCTGCCAGAAATCTTGTTATTGGTGCTCTCTACCTCTGCTAAACTGTTATCATTTACATACTGGTATCTGTTACATTGCACCCAGCTATCTCTGGGGACCACAGAACATCTTCCACTTATGTTATGAAGAAGATGAGAGGTGGAGGTGTTCTATAGCCATGTCCTTGGGTGACAGCATTGTTCCTCCGTAGATACAGTTCGGTCAGCGAGTGTTGTCACTCAGGACAGGAAGTGGGTTATTGGCCAGACCACCAGGTTGAAAATCAAAAAGGAAAAAAAACAAAAACAAAATGCAGCCACCACATCTAAGCACTGGTACGCTGCAAATAAATTAAATTTTTGTTCTCTGCTTTAGATTAACTCTAAAGTCCTTCCAAAGAATCTTTCCAGGTGTGTTCAAGCACAATGGACCATCGGCATGAATTGAATCAATATGAAAACAAGTCCCTACCCTTGGTTACCTTCTATTTTATGGTTTGCATTGTCCTTATTTAACCTTGCCACAAAGGGCTCCTAGTGAGCACCTAACAATTACTTTTCCATTCAGTGGCCCAAGTATCTTCAGTTCAGCAAAACAATGAGAAAGCCGTAAGCTGTACCGGACGCCCACATATAGTACAGGGTGACATCCCCAAGGTCGATATCTTGTTCATAAGAAAGCCACCTATAATTCTCCAAAGACACCATGATATCTTTCAGATATTAGGAGGTAGCAAGCAATGGGAAGGCTCAACAGAGAGTTGGAAAGATTCTGCCTTTATTAGGGTCTGTGTCAATGGGCTTGGGACTTGTGTCAACGGCATCAGCTCGAGATGACTGAAATAATTCATGGTTCACCGACAGGTTCTTCTGACCCGCAGGTGAGCCAATTCAAGAAGGTTCTGCACCCCCTAGACTTGCATATAACCTTATGTAAATGCATTTTTATTTCATGTGAACCACCATTCGATGCAATGATCTGGATTGGATGCATGAATGCATTATAAATTCCCCCCCATCCATCTAATTATCCAACATTTACTAGATTAAACACACATCAAAAAAAAAAAACAATCATTTCAGGATCTTTTGATTGCTACATACAATGGATTAGAATCGGAATTCTCCAACTACTCAAACAATGGAAAAGTGAATGAGATGATACAGACAAAAAGGAACTGATAAGTTAGGATAGATTCAATTCAATTATGGAAATGGTGGTTTCATTGAATGTTCAGATCAGTGCCCATATGGTCAGCATAAATTGCCCAACCTGTATATTATAGATCACATGACCAAATAAAGAAATACTAA